CCAGACAGATAGATAGTCACTGTTTGTCACCTTCCAGACAGATAGATGTCACGGTTTGTCTCACCAATTTCACTCATGTCGTCAACCAAAATTATTTCCTCAAGGAAACGGTGTGGGGTGAGGTCCATCACACTAGACACTGTCCGGAGCAAGGTGTTAAATTCTTCATTATAAAAACATATGATGATGCTGGCGGTGGGTAGATAGGCTGGGTAGTGTTTCTGATGACATCTGCAAGAAAAATGGGAAGAGAATTAGGCATCCAAAAGCCTCAAGTGTTCTGGGGCCTTCTTCAAATGCCAGTCCTCACTCTGGCTTTCTTTAGTGAGCATTAGAACAGTACATTAAAAAAATACAAAAATTAACAACAAAATGTCCTTAAATTTTTAAAGATTATTTTCATGTATGTGTATATGTCTGTATCTATGTGTGCAGACACTGTACATACAAGAGTTGTGGATACCGGAAGAGGGCATCAGAGACCCCAGAGCTGGAGTTAGAGGCAGATGTGAGTTGCCTGACATGGGGGCTGGGAGTCAAACTCTGGTCCTCTGGAAAAGTACTAAGCTCTCTTGATTTCTGAGCCATTTCTCCTGTCTGTCCTTAAATTCTTTATTTTTTTTTTAACTTTTACTTACTTTGTTGTGTGCATGGGTGGGAGGTATATGTGCCTGCCATGGTGGACATGTGAGGTGGTCATACAGCTTACAGGAGCCAGTCCTCTTCTTCCACCATGTGGGCCTCAATCTCAGGTGTGCAGGTGCCATCCTGCTGACCCCATCACATTCTTTTTTGTTGTTGTTGGTTTTTTGTTTTGTTTTGTTTTTTTGTTTTTCAAGACGGGATTTGGAGCATGTCCTGGAACTAGCTCTGTAGACCAGTCTGACCTCGAACTCACAAAGATCTGCCTGCTTCTGCCTTCTGAGTGGGGATTAAAGGCGTGCGCCACCACTGCCCGTCTAAATTCTTCCACTCTTCTCACACTTTGGAATTATTGTCCTCTTTATAATTACTCTTCCTCTACTTTCCATTTTTATAATCTTAGGTCTATTTTAAAGATAATATTAAACACAGGTTATATCCAAAAATTGGTGTCTATTCTAAATATATTGGTCTAAATTTTTGGAAAGATAACTTCAAAGTAAATTCACTGTGCCATGTGCTTAGCTTTGCTTTGGGGGTTTTACTGTGACACCTGATATGACCAAGAATTGTAGTGGAATTGATGCACTGTGTGTCCTCCAAGTACTGGCAAAGGTCGTATTATTTTTGTGTGCATACAAGTGGAAAACAGGAGTTGAGATCCAGTGTTTTACTGTTTAGAATTAACCATCTAAATAGAAGGGTGACCCAAATTACCCCCACCCCCGCAAGACCTAGTTATAGGAAGACAGCTGGAATCTCAAGGAAATGATGGGGTCAGAAGGCTGAAGCTATCTGGACTGCTCTCCTTCACTCTAGCAATAATGATTGGGGTGAAAACTAACAGTCTCTCTAGCCTACCTCGAAGGTTACGGTTTGGTGAGTTTGCAGGTAGTGAACTTAGTTCAAAACGGTGCCCGGAAAGTAGTAACTATTCTACACAAGGCCCAACCTGCAACCTGCAATCTGTCTCGTTTCCATTTCCTTAATGCTACACGGTGGGAAATGTGGTGGATCAGCCTGTCTCTGGGGTTTTGTTTTTTAGGCATAGCTAGCCGTATAGCCGTGGCTGGACCAGACTTGCTATGTTGATCAGGCTGGGCTTGAATTTACAGAGATCTGCCTGCCATGACTTCCTGTGTGCTAAGATTAAGGGTATGTAAAACCACACCAGCATCCAAGGATGAATCAAAAGGGCCTTCTTTTTCCTGTCAATCCATTGGCTCATAATGGCACAGAGGCCACTTTGGAGGTAATTAATGAGGGCCAGACAAGTGAGGTCAAAAGAATGAAATCACCATTCCCACTGCAATTGTGTGAAAAGGGCAATATTTTTCAGACAGTTCCAGGGCAGTAGGGACTGGGCAGATGAGCCAACAGGAATTTTGGTGTGTGTGCCAGGATAAACATGGATTGGAGGCATCTTGAAGGAGTGTTTATCCTGACCAACATTGTTAGTCCAGTGGGTGGTAGTACAGAAAGTTCAGCTGCTGGGTGGAAGCTAGCATCACGCGGTCAAAGGAATGGAAACCGTGTGAGGTGGCAACCAGGCAAAATCTGAAGTGGTCAGCGAGTATGGCAAGCACACCGTCTGCACCCAAATGGATGTGACCCGAGAGCTCAGCAACAGAATGTTGTGACGACATCAAACTGAAAACCTTCTGCATGACAAAAGAAATTACCATCAGGGTGAAGAGATACCTCTGGATTCAGCAAAACTACTTGCAAGCATCCATGGCGCTGCAGGAACACCTTCTGCTCCTTCAGCCAATAGCCGCTGAAACACCAGCCCACTGGGGTGTGGTCTATTTCTCTTGAAAAAAGAGCGCTTGGTTCAGGCGCTTGGTTCCAGCTCCTGCTCCAGCAACTAGACTCCTTTCCTGAGGGTTGGTGTTTTGTAAGTTTTACCCCCCAAAATAAATACCCCTTTAAATCCTAACTGGTGTGGGATTGTTTTCGCGCTTTACATCTGATGAGGGATTGAGAGCCAGACTTCAACAATTCACAGTGTTGAGGCTATAACACAGTAGAGTGCTCATCTAGCCCTGGGTTAGATCTCAGGAATACACAAGACACTGTCTTTAAAAAAAAAAAAAAAGCCTAGCAGACCTTCTTCAAAAGAAAACAAGTGGTCAATAGGTGGGGGAGGGAACAGGAGTAGAGAAGGGGAGACTGGGGTTGGTATGTAAAATAAATGAAAACATTAAAAATAAAACTATTCAATGCCACCAGTCATCAGGGAGATGCAAATTAGAACTATTATGAGACAGATGAGATTCCAGCTCACATTATCAAAATACTGAGAACATTGTGAAGCACAACATAATCCAACAACTCTGCTCTTAGATACACATTCAGGTGTATAAGAGATATCTGCCTCATACCACTGAAGCACGATTCCTAGTAGTCAAGATATGAAATCAACCAAAGCGCCCATCAGAAGAGGAATGAGTTAAGTGTGTGCACACAGCGGAGTGCTATTTAGCCTTAAAAACCCGGACAGGTGAGATGGTTCGTTGGTAGAGGGACATGATGATATGCATTGATCCCTGGGCTCCACACCAGCCTGTACTATGTGCATATGTATATATGAATACGCACGCAAATTAAATAGATACAGTTTTTAAGGTAGGAAATTCAGTTATGTACCACAATAAAGATAGACCCAGAGAAACCCTGTCTCAAAAAATCAAAATAAATAAATAAAAAGATAGGTCTAGAAGAGCTGGAATGAAAATAACACAGGAGGGAGAATTAGTCTCCAGAGATATGCACACCAATAGTTATCCAATGCCAACTGGACACACACACACATATATATACACATACACACACATACATACATACATACGTGTGTGTGTGTGTGTGTATACACACACTAAAACACTAAGCAGGTCCATTAGAGTGCTGCTGGAGATAATGCTTGGCCATTATTGGACAAATCACATATTTCCATTAGTTGAAACTTCTAGTGCAACTTGACAACTCTGGTATGTAGCAGAGCAAGGTAGTTAGGGAAGGGTGGGGCAGGGATGAGGAGGGAAATGCTTGGAGGCCGCACAGAAGAGCCAGGGTGGGAGTCCCAGAGTCCCATTATATAGCACTATATATATGTAATGTGTGTGTGTGTGTGTGTGTGTGTGTGTGTGTGTGTGTACAGTGCTGAGAAAATGGGTCTTACATGTTTTCAGCATGTGAATATTCTAATTGCCTAATTTAGCCTCTCTACAGTATACAAAAGTGCTCTGTACCATAGATACATAAATTTTACTTTTCAGTTAAAAATTCAGATCAAAAATGAAGGCAAAGCTAGAAAGATGACTCAGTGGTTAAGTACACTGGCTGGACTTCAGGGGACTGCGGTTTGACTCCCAGGATTCCCTTACAGCTGTCTATAACTTCAGCTCCAGGAAATTTGATGTTGTCTTCCGGAGCCAGAGAGCACTGGGCACAAAAGTGATGAGCGTACACACATGCAGGCAAAACCACCCACACAGAACAATAAATACATCTGTTTTAAAAACCAAGGCAAGCTGAACTAGAAGTCCCAAATAATGGAAATGTAGTGTTTTAATGTGTGTGTGTGTGTGTGTGTGCGTATAAAACCAGTTGGGGTTGGATAACCCTTTGGGTGTCTATCTCTTGGGAAGACTGATCCCCTCACTCCCTTGGTAGTTGTTAGCTGCCTTTAGTTCTTATCTAGGGGTAAAGTCAGTTTTAATTTCTTCTCTCCATGGCGACATGGCCCCATGCCATTGTTCAGTTCTTCTTTAAGCAGGCATATTTCGACTTTGCTTTTCCTATCAAGTAATTATATGATAGAAGAAAGGAACCAAGGCAGTTACACCATTTTAGATAAGATTTAGGGGGAAATAGTAACATGGGGAGAAATTCACAATTTACTGGTATTAAAATATTGATTTTTGTGATAGTTAAATCTTAACTTGATTTAAAGATTGTCCTTCAAGTTAAATTAATATCATGCTTATAGTTTAAGGAAATTTAAATTTATTTTGTGTGTGTGTGGGAGAGAAGAGAGACTGTAGTTGAGGATAACCTTGAACTTCTGACTCCCCTGCCTCCACCCCAACACTGAGATTACAGGCATTCACCACCACTCTTGGTTTATGTGGTGCTGGGAGCAAACCCTGGGCCTTGTGTCTGCCAAACACTCCAATTGGCCTACATCCCCAGCCCAAGTTTGTTTTCTTCTATCATGACTCAGTTACGCTCTGCCATCACGTGCAATCACTCCATCTGTCGAGTGTGCCAGTCACGAGTGGTGTTTGTGGCTTCATTTGCTTGTGTTGCACACATATCACACAATTCAGCAATATGGCCCGTTTTCCAATTTCCTGGAATGGCATTACTGGAGAGTGTATGTTTGCTCAGCTTGAACATTTTTCTTTTAGCTAATGGAAATTGATAATCTTTTCTAGGAAATGATTAGAACCTAAATAATATTTAAGAGGCATCAACAAACAAGATACTGAACAGATGAACCTCAAGAACATTGTGCTAAATGAAATAAGCCAGTACTCCAAAAGACAAATTCTGTATGCTTTTCCTGTTTTGAGGTCTGGGGTGGACTGGGGAAAGGGAGCGCAGGTTTCAGTTCAGGCAGTGCTGTGGTTGCTCACGGCTGCCCATGCTTAATGTTGCTGAATTGTCCCCTCGAAAATTATTAACATAGCAATTTTATATTCATTTTACCACAACTAACATAAACACAGATAACAGAAGACATGAGAATGAAGCAGACCAGGAAGGGAAAGGTAGGCGTACATCCAAAGCAGCTTCTGTTGGGAATTAAGGCTTTAAAGGGTCAGAAGCCCTCACTGGTGACTGAATGAAAACCTACAAGAGATTTACTTAACTCTTCAAAACCTCTAGAACATGTTCTGCCAAGGGGGAAAGTGGTCTCCAGACCCTTAGACATCAGAATCTCGACCTTGTCTGACTTAAAGTCATAAGAACAGGAACCTATTCTATAAGATTTCTAATATGCTAAACATTGAAGTTTGGTTAGTGGGGAAACATACATTTTATCCCTGGAATCTGGCACCTCTCTCCTGATGCCCAGGCTTCTACTGAGAGCAGCATTAAGTCCATATTGCTTAAATCCTTTGTAAAATTCTGGGGCTGAAAAGTCAATCGGATCTGCAAGAAAAAGATAAATTTGCGTCACAAACGTAAAAGCTTCCTGCCGGCACTCTGAGGCGAGCAGCAAGAGCGCCCTGTCCCGAACTGCTCTGAAGCAGTCAACAGATGACATTAACAGTGAAAGCCCAGAGCATCTGCATAAACCAAAGCAGACGTCTTAGTAAATGTTGTCATTAATTCTCAGCCCTATCCAAGCTGCATCAATCACTTTCCTGTTGTGTGTTAAATATCCCGACAAAAGCATCTTAAGAGTGAGCAGTTGTTCTGACACACAGTTCTAGAAGTCCCATTACAGAGGGGAAGGCGCTGCAGCAAGCCCCTAAGAGCAGTTGGTCACACTGCATCTGCAGTCAGTGGGCAGAGGGCAGTGCGTTCAACTTGCCTACTTTTCCCTTTTTATTTTGCAGTCCAGTCTCATAGTCTCTCTCTCTCTCTCTCTCTCTCTCTCTCTCTCTCTCTCTCTCACACACACACACACACACACACACACACACACTTCATAAATGCCACACAGGGGTTATAGAAGCCTTCTGTTGAAACACAAGTAGTCACAGATAAAACATCATCAGCAAACCTCCAAGATAAGAAACTCATTCTCCCTAACCAAAGACAGAGCTGGGGAAAGGGGTAGCCTAGTGACCAAAACAAAACAAAACAAAAAACCTTTGCAAAACTTGCCCTGAGACCTTTCACCTCACCCTCACCCTAAGAAAGCAAGTAACAATATCCGTCTTGCCCCACCTGGTGGTGTCAGCCGGGCCAAGCAGAGCCTAATCTTCCTGCAGTCAGCAGTGGCAGTGCTCAGACCACCCTCCCTACACTACCCAGGAGGGCGGGAGGAGCTTCAGGGCCTCTCCGGGTAGACACTGGTGATGCTGAGTCTCCCGGATGTATTGTCAGTGGAACGTTGAATCTCCAGCCCCCCATGACAAGGAGATGGGGCAGGGTAGAGCCAGGTAGCTTTCTACTTCCCTTCGCCTCTCAGGAGACCCAGTGGAGAGCTAGATGTCCACTGTCATCGGGCAGCAGTGGGACCAGAATAGTTGATACTGTTTCTCTTTGAACCTGGTGGCAGTGAGGACTAATAGACTGTTGAACCTCTTAACCCTGGTGTTAGTGGGGCACAAGGAGGAGAGGAAAGGCAGGACTAGCTGACACCGTGCCCAGTGACAAGGTTGTGAAAGTCAGTGCTCTGTTTAAAGGGAAACCAAGTGACTTGAATTCTTGTATCACCTGTTTATCACAAGATGGTGTGCACATAGTGCTATAGGCAGACGGGGCAGGGAGGGGCTTCTGGAATGGAGGGTGGCCAGACACACATACTTACCTGTTCCTTCTAATAGAGGACAGAAAGGACCAGTAGAAGCATTCTTACCTTCTATACTGTATGACACACTTATACTCAATATTGCAGAAGGGAGGCAATCAGCACTGATGTATTACTAGCTTAGCCCATAAACACTTCTTCTGGCCTGTTGGTTCTAAGGTAATTATGCCCTAGGCCAAATGTGGAGGAGTACAAGATACCAGTAGCAACTAAGTCTATCCATTGTTTTCTTGAGCCTAGACATCCACAGAATGAGGGAAGAAAGAAAGAGGTGATAATGAGAAACAGACATAAGAATAATTTCAAAAATGTGTTCAACCACCTTTACCAGAATGACAAGACTGAGCTCCAAATGATTAACAGCCTCTGTCCCTGCCCACCTACATAATCTGTGCGGTGGGGATGTAATAGAAGACAGACCTTTAGGTTCTGAATCCTCTTTCAGATTGCCGGTGCCTGAATAAAGTAAAGTTTTAAGGTTCAGTGTCTGTCTTTGCTCACTGGCTTTTGAGAGTGACGGGCACTCTCATTCAATTTTGCTTATACATGCACTACAGCTCCCTGAAGGAGACCTGCTTGAAGTCATGCTACAGGGTCTCACAGTATTTTTAATGTCCAGGATCCAATAGAAGATGTCATACCAAGTCCGAAATGGAATTTAAAAGGGACAACCAACAAACACCAACACTGAGATGAATCAGTTGGACCAGACTTGCTAGGATGCTAAAGCAGCCACCACAGCAACATCAGAAGCAGACAGAAAAGGGAGAGCAGCTCAGCTAAGGGACAGAAATTACAAGAACTAACCAAAAGGAAATTATAGGAATGGTGATTACAGTCCTCGAAGAGGCAGGGTGACTCTAAGTAGTAGTTAAACTACACAGAAGGCAGAGCCTGTGAACTTGAGGTCAGGCCAATGGAATTAGTGTGGTATAAACAACAGAGAGATGAACTAGGAAGAAAAAGATTCTCAGGGACCCATGGCACAGCTAAAGAGCTAACTGTGTCACAGAAGGAGAGAGAAAGCAGGGGTGAGGGTGTAGTGTGAGAGCGGGGTAGGGATGCTGCAGAGGGGCCATCCTATGTCTTACTCTTCCATGTCGCTGTCAGCAGTGCTCCCGGGCAGTGCAGAGTCCAGGACACAGATCTGACTTGGAAACCATTAATTATCACTTTATTGTTCTCTTTGTCTTTGGGGACTGATTTCGTTACATCAGGTATAGACATGAATACCTGCATAGACATGAAGCCCAAATCTTCTAACAGTGAGTGTTGGGGAGAGCAAATTCTAAGAGGGTCTTGACATAGAATATCTACAGATGTGTTAATGCAGTTACTACGCAGTACCAGAACTGCCAAGCAGCAGCATGCGGAGGCCATGGAACGACACTGGTGGATTCAGGCAATGGCTGCCTTTGAGGATGGAAGGACCAGGGGTGACATTTCTTTGGCATTTTTTGAAATTCATTTATGTGGAAAACAAAAAGCTGAAGCCAATATAGCAAACTACATAAAAATGAGAAATTAAGAGGTAACGCATGCATGTGTATATACCCTATTGAGTTCTGTGTATAATATATGGATATATGAAATATTTTATAGCTCAAAAGTTAAATTACTCTAAAGGGGACATTCCCTTACTCTTCCAAATATTGAATCTGTGATATGTTGACAGTAGTTAACAGAAATAGATCAGTTTGTTCCTGGGTATAATTCTGGTTTTCCAGGTTCTTCTGCATCAGACTTACCATCAGAAGCATTCTGTTTGGGAGTTTTCTTTGAGACATGGTTTTGCTGGTACACATTTTTTCGAAGTGAATTAGCCCTTATGAGTTCCTGGGTTTTCTTCAGCTGTTCGTTCTCTTGATCGTCCTGGAAATAGGCGATTAGCAGAGTTGTCCAGAGCCCGATGGCCAGGGTTCCACAGAAGACACACTGAGCTATGATGCTCTTCATTGTGGGGTCCACATTTTTAAATTCCAGTTTTCCTAGATGAGAGCATTGTAAGAGAAGCATTGTAAGAATTCAAACTCAGTGATGTTTGAATTGTTCATGTAGCTGAAGTTCTGTTTTCAGTGTTTCAGAAATAATCATTTCAATACTTTCTGAATACAGAAGTTTACCTCTTTTCTGTCACAAAAATTCTTCACACATAGGATCACCATCCAGACGGGTCAGTATGGAACAGGCAGCATAATTTAAAGTCTTTGCCCTACCCCTGAGCAGAGAGTGCAAGGAGAGGAAGAATAACACAAAAATCCGTCTCTTACTCCGCCCTGCCCACTTGGAGAGATAGGGTGGTTCTCTAAGACTCTGACCAGACGCCGGTCAGGCTGCAGTGTGAAAGCATGCAATGTCACGTGCTGGAGAGGACAACTGAGGCTTGAGCGCCGTGGCCCACTGTTGAGGGGACCACACATAGACTCAGTGTTTGGGTTCTAAGCGCCTACCCTGAATGTCTCCATTGGCGCTCGTGGTCAGATGTAAGTGAAGCTTTTCTCAGCAGAACTGCTGAGGCTGTCCTTTCTTTTTCTTCCTTTCTCTTCCCTCCCTCCCTCCCTCCCTCCCTCCCTTCCTTCCTTCCTTCCCTCCTTCCCTGTCTGTCCTGGAACTCACTCTGTAGACCAGGCTGGCCTCGAACTCAGAGATCCACCTGCTTGTACCTCCTGTGTGCTGGGATTAATGTCAAGCACCACCACTGCCCAGCGGAGGCTGTCCTCTCAAATGGTGAAATCAGTCAGTTAGAGCCGTCAGCAAGTGAATTTTAAACCCGTAGTGACAAGCAGGAGGCGAGCAGAGGGGGCTGGGAAGCTGGCAATCAGGACCTAAGTTTGAATCTCCAGAGCCCACATAAAAAGCCAAACAGAGCAGTACTAAAGAGGGCAGAGGGACAGAGCCCAGGAACTCTCTGGCTGGCTAGCCTAGACAATTGCTGAACTTCAGGTTCAGTAAGAGACCCTGTCTCAAAGGATAACGGAGGAAAGAAACAAGGAAGGATTCCCAGCATTGGCTTCAGGCCTCAACACACATGTGTACTCACATGCATGTGTGCCTCCATGGGGACACGGTGGGGAGGGAGGGAGGGAGGGAGGGAGGGAGGGAGGGAGGGAGAGAGGGAAGGAGGGAGGGAGGGAGAAGCAAGCAGAACATCGTGTATTTTGCAGAACATGGTTAGTGTGCCTGCTTATGGTCGCTGATATGCAGCAGATGCTTGGGGAACCTGTGAGCAGATGATATGCAGTGTCCAGCAGCTCCAGCCCGCCAGGAGGAAAATTCAGAGCCTGCTGCATTCTTAGTTCTAGCTCCTGAATAGCTCTGCAGCACGCATGGCAGAGACTCAGATCAACAGAACTGGTGATGCATGTGGAGCATTTATGAGGCTGTCTAGTAAGAGCTTTCTTTCAATGTCAGTGGTCTCCATGCAAGTGTCTGTATCTTCCTCTTGACTCAGCTGTGAATAAAAACAAAGCTAAACATCCTTATTAGAAAAGGCTGGGGGCCATGAATGCGAGTGAGGGGTTTCTTTTTTGTTGTTGTTATTTTTGTTTTGTTTTGTTTTGTTTTAAACAGGGTCTCCCATAGCCCAGGTTGACCTCAAATTCACTTTGTAGCCAAGGATGACCTTGAGCTTCTGATTCTCCTGAGTGCTGAAATTACAGGTATGGGTTACCATGCCAAGTTTTATATGGTACTGGAGACCAAATCCAGAGTTTTGTGTATGCTAGGAAAACAGTCTCCCAACTGAACCACATTCAAGGCACATAAGATTTTTACAGTACTTTCAAGACAAAGTTATTGGCCATGTGCTCACAATTTGGAAGGAGGCAGAATTTCACAGCCTGAGTGGGAAATGAGAGGACCATGAAGCAGAACCAGGTTGAGCTGCTGAGAGATAGGAGTGAGCAGGGCCTTGGCAAGTCTTACATGTATAATCAGAAGGGGGCTCTCTTCACCCCAGTGCACTGAAAAGCCCAGGCAGGATAAATGAATTACAGAGGCGCAGCTCACAGTGGAATTGAGAGACATTTAAAACACCTAGGTGTGTGATATCAGCGCTGCCCAGAGCCTTCAAGCCTTACCACAACACACGCACGCACGCACGATAGCAAGGCTGTTGTGGCTGAAATGGGAGAAGAGGGAACTGCTCTAGGAGGAGAAGCTGGGCCCAGGGGAAAGACCAATATGGAGACTCTAGGTCAGTGGTTCTCAACCTTTTACACAGTTCTTCCTGTTATGGTGACCCCCAACTGTAAAATTATTTCATTGCCACTTCATAACTGTAATTTAGAATTTACAGTTCATGAATGGTTAATATCTGATATGCAGGATATCTAATATGCAACCATCAAAGGGGTTGTGACTCATAGGTTGAGAACCATTGCTCTTGAGCTCCCCACAAATGCTGGTTCCCCTGCAGATGCCTGCTCCAATACTCAGACTGTCCAAAATTGCTTGTTCTGCCTTGCAATTGGAATGGAATGCTGATATAGACCGAACCATAACTCTTCAAAATTACGTCAGATCATTAACCACAACGTGACCATTTTTGTGAAAGAGATCATTTTTAATCTTTTAATTTTAAACTCCTTTAGGGAGGTGATTAAGGTTAAATGAACTCATAGGATGGGGCCTGATCCTGTATGACTGGTGACCTTATAAGATAGCCAAGAAACATGTACAGCGGGAAGGACACGTGAGGGTTTGTCAAGAAGGGGGGCACTTGTGAGTCAAGAAGAGAAGCTTGAAGTGGAAGGCGCCCAGCCAACGCCTTGACCTTGTACTTCTGGCTGTGAGAAAGTAAATTCTTGTGTTAGCCAGACACTCTGTGATGTTTTGTTCTATTTGCCCACATGGACTGATACAGAAGCCAAGGATTGACCAAGGCAGTTGAGGAAAACCTTCATCAGGGAGGGAAAAAAATTATGTGGAGAGCCACAAAAAGGAACAACCCAAAACTTGCAAAATACTGAAACTGAGAAATCAAGGATAGCACACTCAAAGAGCCAGAGAAAGGACAGTAGAGGACAAAAAGGGACACTTGAAATTTAAAATGTGCCAGCCACAGTTAGCAAAATCAGCAGAAAATTGGAAAATAAAAGGGGATTTTTCTGGAAAGTACAGCAAGATGACAGAGTAAGGGGCAACTTCAGATGGGGCATCCTTTCAGCAGGATCTAACTAGTAAGGAATTCCAGAAAACTCTGGAAGAAGGGGAGGGGAGGAGAGGGGAGGAATGATTACATCAGCAAAGAACACAGAGTGGCCAGTGCAGCAAATGGGAGAGCATCCCAGGAGAGCTGACCTTTTCAGAGGATGACATTAAACTCCGCAGTAACCAAATCCAGAAGGACTAGGGAGAAATGGTTATAAATTCATTATTAGGTGATATCAAACCTAAATTTCTACAACTAGTCAAAACCTGGTCAAGCTCAAGAGTGGAATGAAGGTTTCCAGATAGCAGATAACTCAGAAAAAGCCTTCTCCATGTCCTCCTCCTCTTCCTCCTCCTCCTCCTCCTTCAGTGGGCATAAACGTGAGTTATAAATGCCAACAAGGAAAAAGCAAAAGGAGGATACAAGCATGTACACATACACACACACACACACGTACAATGATCACAAAACCATAAATCTGCGTCTGTCCCCATTGGCTTTGTTTTAAAATGTGAGATGGGCTGGGGAGATAGCTCAGCAGGCAAAGCACTTGCTGTTCAAGTATGAGGCCTGAGTTGGAATCCTCAGAACCCATATAAAGCTGGACACTGCACTACACACATGTAATATCAGTGCACCTATGAAGAGAAGGGAGGCAGAAACAGGAGAACCCCGGAAGGTTCAGGTGGGCCAGCATATGCAGTGCCAAGCAACAAAAAGACTATCAAACAAGGTTGAAGGCAAAGACTAACACCTCATGTTGTCCTCTGGTCTTCATACTCCTGCCATAGCTTGTGTGCCTGAATTCATACACACACACACACACACACACACACACTCACACACACACACGCACGTACACACACACACGCACACACACACTTTAGGGCTAGGGAGATGGCTTTAGTGGGTAAAGTGCTTGCTTTGCAAGCCAGAGACCCCAGACTCAGTCCTTAGCACCCACACAGAAGTCAGGTGCATCAGGGCTGGAGAGGTGGCTCAGCCATTAGGAGCACTTGCTCTTCTTGCTGAGGGCCTGGATTTGGTTCTCAACACCTACACTGCGGCTCCCAGTCATCTGGAATTTTAGTTCAAAGGGATCTAATGCCCTCTTCTGGCCTCTTAGGGCACTAGGCATAATTATATACATGCATGCAGGCAAAGCAATTACACACATAAAATAAATCTTAAAAGAGAAAAGGAAAAAAAGAAAAAGGCTGGGTGCAGCCGCACACACATGTAATACTGATACTGGAGGGTTGGAGAGAGAAAGGTCTCTGGAGCCTGTTGGCCAGACAGCCTAGCCAGTCAGTGAGCTGCAGCTTCAGCGAGTCTTGTCTGTCCACGCTCCAATAAATAATCTTCCACTCATGCTCATCCAAGAAGTCATAATCAAACTCAGTGGGTGACACGTACACAGTAGGTTGCAAGGACAAACTTGTTACAAAGAAGAAGGGTTTCAACAGAAGGGGGGATGACAGGGATAGCGGAAGTGAAAGCTACAGAAATTCATCATGTACATAAGTGAAACTGTCAAGGATTAATGTGTGTGTTGTGTGCGTGTGTTTGCGTAGTGAGACTTTCCCAAACCAACGATTATAAAATGATAACACCCACCCCAGACCTTTGTCACCATGCCTTCTTTTTTATTTTTATTTATTTAATTTTTTTGAGACAGGGTTTCTCTGTGTAGCCCTGGCTGTCTTGGAGCTCACTCTTCAGACCAAGCTGTCCTCAAACTCAAAGATCTGCCTGCCTCTGCCTCCTGAGTGCTGGGATTAAAGGTGTGTACCCACGGCCCAGCTATCAGCATGCTTTATTAAAGGGCCTTGCAAGAGTACCCTTTCCTGTAATGTTAATATTGTCATCTCTACAGGGTCTAGGGGCACGGGAGAGAGAAACTGCTTAGTGTTTTGTGAGGGGTTATCTCGATTAGGTTAACTGAGGTGGGGACATCACAACTAAACATAGGTGACGCCATACTATGGGCTGGGGTCTCAGGCGAATGGTAAAGAAAGAGCCCTCTGCCTGAGCACAGGAGTTCATTCTACTTCTTGACCGTAGGTGTCATGTGACCAACAACCTCCCTCTCCTATCACTGGGCGCCATGCTTTCCCCCTCAGGATGGATTCTAGTCCTCAAATATAAGTGAAAATAAATCCTAACTCCCAAATTTAAAACAAGAAGGTGGATTGGGAAGGACACCACTGTAAAGACACATACGGGCACACATCCCTTCCCCACATAAATGTGAGATTTTAGAATCAGGAGAGCATGGCCTTGCTTTTGATTGATGTCACAACTACTTTTTCTGAAAATAATGGTGATATTTTGTAATGCTTTATCTTCCTGATATTGCTCTCCAGACAGAACCTGTAATCTTCTCGTACTTTAAAGGCTTTTCCCTCCACTGATTTTTTTTTTTTTACATAAGTGTTAAGCGCACACACGAGTATATCATAGATTCTGTTTTCAGGAGCTGCAGCCTACGTAGTACTTTTCCTCCAGAAGTGAGGCATAGCCAGACTAGTGATCACCTTTTCTTCTGGTAACAAAGCAACCTCAGTACTGCTCCCTAGATCTCTAACCCATTTCCAGTAGATCGCTGCTCTTAGTGATCTAGGCACCTGGACTTCCTAAATCTCTGTTCCCTTATGCTTAGCCCCTTACCTGTTAATGGGGTGACCACCCTGGTAACTTTGAAAGCAAGTCATTTGCCAAGTGGTCAGCACTGAAATCAGGTCTGTGAATGATGAAAAGATGTACTTTTTCTAGATGGTGCTGGATCATTCTGAGTGTTCAGCTTGCCACCACGGACTGCCTCTCAGAGTCCAGTGACATCACACAGGGCATTGTTAGCCCACAGAGGCCCCTGTCAGCAAGCCTAGCAAGCAGTTAGAACCCAGGAAGCTGGAGGTCAAAGGGCCCTAGCATAGCTACCAGCTGAATGTCTTCCTTCCTCAGCTGAGGAAACAGAAAGCCTCATGAGAGTCAAGGTCAAAACTGAGGGTTTGTAGGCTTGGCCTAATGTTTAGCTCTTGTGAAATAAGATTTAAAAAAAAAACAGCTGTCCTTCAGAATACTTCAAGAAACTGAAATATAAGATGGGGCCGACTGAATGCCTTTAATTTTTACTCTCTAATCTATTGCTCAACATTTAGATGGTGGTACACAAGGTCAGCCAAAAACTTGGGAAATTCCTTCTTCAGGAGGCTAAGCCAATCACACCCCTCCCCCTCGGTGGTTTGATTGGAACCATACACCTGTGTCAGCTCAACAGCAGAAGGGGTGTGCTGAGGCCTTTCAGACCCTTCCCTGGAGCAGCTGAAGTCCTTGATGCTCCCCAGCCTAAATTTCATGCTCTGCTCGTTTGCACAGGCTGGATGGGAAGGTGCTGCTTTGTCATTCAGCAGTGATGTTGATTTGATTTCATAAAAAATATTTGAATGGACTGGAGAGATGGCTAGTTTGGGGAATTTCTTGCTTTATACACTTGAGGATTTGATTTGGAACCCTAGCATGCCTGTAAAAACCAGTCATGGCAGTGCATGCCTGTGACCCTAGCACAGGAGAGACAGAGTCAGGAGACTCCTGGGGACTTGCTAGCCAGACAATCAAGCTAAGTTGGTAAGCTCCAGGTTGAGTGATAGATCTTGGCTTGGAAGAAAAACATGGAGAACAATGAAGGAAGACACCGCACACCAACCTTCATATACACAACATACATGCACGCATGTACATCCCTACCTGCCTGTACACACAGATCCTTAAGAAACGTGTGTGCACCTGTGTGTGCACATGCACATACAAAGTTTAGGGATTAGAGATGTAGCTCAATAGTAGACTGGTTTCCTAGCATACAAAGCCCTGAGTTTGATCCCTAGGTGTGAAAAAGAGATCATTTTTATTCTTAGTGTATCTAAACTGGGAATGATGCAAAAACCCACTAAGAGTGGAATGGATAGGGGCTGTGGATGTAGTTCAGTTGATAAAGTACCTACCTAACAAGCTTGAAGCCCAGGATTCTATCCCCAGCACCACATAAACCAGACACAATGGCATAGGCTCGAAACCGCAGCAGAGGTGGAAGCAGGAGGGTCAGGAACTCAGGGTCATTCTTGACTACATAGAAGAGTTGGAGACCCTGTCATGAAAGATAAGAAAATGAGTGGATTGAATAATTGTGCTATTTTCATACATTGGACTATGAAATAGACAAGCTACAGGTGTGTGTGTGTGTGTGTGTGTGTGTGTGTGTGTGTGTGTGAGAGAGAGAGAGAGAGAGAGAGAGAGAGAGAGAGAGAGAGCAGGAATGTACCTCAGACACAGTCTTATACTACAGAAGCAAGACTCAGGTTGCACGACGCTATTGCCATGACACTGAAGAAAGCACCAAATTGGTCTATGGAGAAAGAAGTCTGAGAAATGATCCCCTCTGGGGTGAGGGTGGCACTAGGTGTGGGGCCAAGGGTGGGCTGTTGGGGTCTACTCTTGACTTGGTGAAGGCCTGCTGAGCCTAGGCGTGTGGATACTCATGGGCTGCTCAAGGTTTTCACCCTTCAGATATTCTAACAGAATCAGTGGGGGAAAGTCCACCCTGTTTATGGCTTGGTTTAATAAGTAAAGTCTTTCTGAGAAAAAAAATCAAGGCACTAGACTGGTCCAAGGACAAAGATAGGATTTTGTGTTGGGAGCTAACTCACCCTCCGAAGCAGAGCCATAGATTTCAGTGTATTCACAAAAGTCCTGCAAACTTGACTAAGTCCACAGTGTTTTCATTGGTTCAGAAAGAGTCTCCGTGAGAAGCAGCAGTCAGAGCAACGACTGAGCTGGCAAAGTGCCTGCCCTGCAAGCATGAAGAACTGCATTCAGATCCCCTGAACCCACATACAAAGCTGAGAGGGAGGCACATACCTGTGACCTCACCACTAGGGTCAGCAGAGGGGACAGGGAGCAGAGATAGGAAGATCCTACAGTTCCCTGGCCAGACGGTCAGCCTATCCAAATTGATGACCTTCTGGTCCAGTGAGATGCCTTGTCTCAAAAGCTTTGCCGATCATTTAAAGAAGGACACTGAAATCTACCTCTAGCTTCCACACAAATGCTCATGTACTGCACCCATAAGTCCACACGACTACACTAGGAAGTGCATACACCAGACACGCAGAATCCAGCACACACCTCGAACAGCCACTGACTGCAAGCCACTGGCCCGTTTTCTGGCTCCATGGATTTGCCTTCTTTGGGTAATGACTCATGCAATAGCATTCTGTGTGTGCTGTGTGTGGCTGCTTTCACTTATGTAATGTGTTTTTAAGAATTATATTTGTTTATTTGCATATGCCACAATGTTGGAAGTTGATACTCTCCTCCCACCGTGTGGGTCTTCGGGATTAAAATTAGGTTGTCAGGTTTGGTGGCAATTACAATTATGTGTACTCACTGATTCACCTCTCTGGCCCATCATAATGTTTTCAGTGTTAATATACATTGTAGCATAAATCAGTACTTCGTTTCCTTTTATGACTGAATAACTATTGTATACAAATATTACAATTTAGTCATCAGTTTTTCAGATGATGTGTATTTAGGTTACTTGTGTTTGGCCTTACTAAATGGTCAACATGTGATTTCTCTTCCTTTGAATTCTACCTATGTGTAGAATTACTGTGGTAATGTTATTTAATTTCCTGAGAGGGAGCTAATTATTAACAGTCTTTCCTTAAACTGGCCTCCAGATTTCAGCTTGCCTCACCAATCCCTACTGCATGCACACTGATTCCTGGCAGTATATTTCTTCATATATAGCCCTATTTGGCCGTGTAGTTCTCAGAAGCACAAATGTATATGTCTGTGTCACCCTCCTTATAAATATGGAGCCCAGAAGGGTCCCACAGACCCCCTTTCTGTCAGTCTTTACAGCCTTTTGGAGTTCAGATTTTCTCCGTGAACTGTGTTATCTATTGTGGATTATCTGGATAGAGGCTGGGACGTGCAGGGTTTTGTCCTTCAGCATTTTCCTGAGATTTACTTTTGTTTTGTATAACAGCCAGTTGTTTTGTTGATGGATATCCTGCTAAGGCTGCCACAGTAAAACACTAAACTCAGTGGCCAAACAACATGAAACTGATGGTTCTGTTACTTCCAGCCACCAGAAATCCAAGGCCAGAGTTGATTGCCCTGAGATGTGCCTCCATCCTTACCTTAGAAAGTAATCTGTCCTTAACCCCTTATTTTCTTGTTGCTCTTCCTCCCTGCCCCCATTTTATGAAGAAAGTGACTTTGAAATAACTAGCTTGCTTTGTTTGTTCTTGCTGCCGTGCTCTTCAGTCTCTTCCTGTCTGTAAAGCCAACCTCCTCCACTCGGCCCATGGGAACACTTTTTCTGTGTTTATGGGATAAAGTGTTGGCCAATTCTAAAATACAAAATAAGCCCAATTATGTAGTAAACCTTTCCCACAGAGGTGGATGGCTGTTATCTCAGGAGTGGGTGTGGTGGTGTACACCTAGTATCCCAGCATGTGGGAGGTAGATGCATGAGGATCAGAAGTTCAGTGTTAACCTTGGCTACCTACATAGTTTGTTTGAGGCCAGCATAATCTACATGAGACCCTGTTTTAAAAGGTGTCAGAAGGCATCGCTCAGGAATGGTGGTACACACCTTTAATCTCAGCTCTCAGGAGACAGAGGCAATGTGGTTCTTTGTGAGTTTGAAGCCAGTCTGGTTATATTGTAAGACCCTGTCTCAACAACAACAGAAGTAAGTGTGTGTGTGTGTGTGTGTGTGTGTGTGTGTGTGTGTGTTGGGGGAGGGTACTGGAGAGATGATGGTTCATCAGTTTTTGCTTACTGCTCTTCTAGAGGACCCAAGTTAAATTTTCAACACCCAACTCAGACAGTTCAAACTGTCTGTTAACTCCCGCTCCACTGGACCTGATGCCCTCCTTTTCTGATCTCCAAAGACACTGCACAAATGGCATACATACATACACATAAATAATAAATATTTTTAAAATGTTAAAAATCAATCAAATGATTTTAGTTTTAGTCCTGTTTTAGTTTAAGTTCCTTCCAACCCAGCCCAACTTGGTTCACCTCTGCAAAGGTTCTAGTTCTGTCTGATTGCTCCAAAGACAAAGGCTTGACCTCTTTGTGTTCTCAATTTTCCTTCTTACCTTCAAGTTTCTCTAATTGCTAGTGCCAGCTTAACCAACCTGTGCTCTTCCGTGTCTTAAAAACTCCATGGAGGAGATGGAGAGATGGCTCCGTGGTTGAGAGCACTGTCTGCTCCTTTAGAGGACCCAGGTTTGGCTCTCAGCACTCAGATGGTGGCTCACAACCATCTGTAACTTCAATTTCAGGGCATCCAGTGCCCTCTTTTGGCCTCTGTGGGCACTAGGCATGCATGCTGTACACACGCAGCTAAAGCACCCATACACATAAAATATTTGGAAAATCTCTCTGGAGAATCCATTCTCTACCCATGCTGGTCATCCAATGGTCCAAACTCTCTACTGCCACCCGTCCTTTGGGATCTGGTCATCTGGAGTATGGTGGTCTTTCCCTCTATCCGTAGAGTGACCTTTCCTGCAGGGGCGGCCATCATCTCAGGAAACTCACTTTCCAGGATATAACATGAAAGGCATGCCCTGACATTAATGACTTTCTCTCTCCAAGAGTGGGCCCAGCCTGGGGTTGGGTGGGGATGGGAATGGGAGTTTAGTGATAGATGTCAGGCAGAAAGAAGTCAAACCAAAGCCTTTGTTGATGAAGCTTTGCAAAGTGAACTTTTGGTGCCAGGAAAAGGGCAGTGGTGATGCAGGGTTCCAGCTGCCGAGT